GGGAGCCTTAGTGGACTGCAAGCTCAATAGGATTCAGTAGTGGGATAGAACAGCCAAGAAAGCTCATGGGGTGATCTTGGGTTGCTTTCAATGAAGCAGGTGGTGATTGTCCCCCTGTCTTCTACCATCACCTGACCTCATCCGGAGTAAAGAGTATCAGCATTTAGGAAGGACATTAATATGCTATGGAGTGTCCAGAGGAGGCCACCATGATGGGGAAGGGCCTTGAGCCCAGGCCATCTCCGGATTAGTTGAAGGAACTAGGAATGTTTAGACTTGAGGGAGATAGGATAACTGTCAAGTATTTGAAGAGTTGTCACGTGGGACAGTAATTAGATCTGTTCTAATTTGTTCTGCCCAGAGAGCAGAATTGTGAGGAGAAGTTGCATAAACGCAACTCTAGACTTGACATCAGGAAAAACCTCCTCCCAATGGAGGCTGTTCAGTGGAATGGGCCACCCTGAGAGGGTCTCCAAGCAGAAGGTGGGCAACCACTTCTGGGGCTTCCTTTCATGCCTGAATTGGACTAGAGGCTGCTGAGGTCCGTTTCACTTCCCTAATTCTGTGATTCTCTGATTTAAATCAGTCACCACAACGAGGGGCCAAGCAAGCTCCTGGCACGCTTAACAAAGCTTGCCCAGCTTGCCCAATGGAGAGGGCTGACCTCCAAGGGCATCTAAACACAGGCGGAGAATACGAAGGAGGAGGGTGGAAGATTCGGAGGGCATGAACACAAGAGTCTTCACTGATGAGAGCCTTGCTCCAGCCAAGGACATCTACAGGGCTCTCAAAGGCAAAGCTGCAGAGGAAGGCAAAGAGTGCGGGACTTGAAATCGGGGAGTGATGCTTAGGTTTGAAGCCCGGCCCTGATGCTCAACTGGCTGTGTGACCCTACCCGAGCCACTTAACCCAAGCCTCCTTTTCCTCACTTCTAACCCAGCACTGCTCTCTGCTCCCTCAACTTCTCTGCCTCTCCCCATCTGCCTCCTCAAGTTGGGGGATGTCTCCACCCCCGCAGCCCCTCTGCTCAGCGAGCCTACATCTAACCTGGCCAGCTCTGCTCTTCACTGTACATTTACACCTTGCCCCTCAGGGATTCCTCCTCCCCTTCCCTTTTTTTTTTTTTTTTGTTTGAGGCAATCAAAGTTAAGCGATTTACCCAGGATTTACCCAGGATGACGTAGCTTCTTCAGTGTCTGAGGCTGGATTTGGCCTCGGGTCCTCCTGACTCCAGGGCTGGTGCTCTGTGCACCATGGCGCCCCCTAGCTGCCTCTCTTTAAATGTTCTATTCATTTTATTTTTAATTTATGGGCTAAAACAAGCATTTCCATAACACAGTATAATAAAATACAGCATCGCACATGAAACTGCAAATCTATTATGTACAACTTGCTATTCCATTTAAATATATAATAAAGTTATCATGTAAATTTCTTTTTTTCCCCTTTTTTTCCCCTCCCCCCTCATCCTGGATATGGCTACCATTACATACAAATAGGTATAGATAAGTAAAATTATTCAAGGTATACTTCTATGTATCAGTTATTTCTCTGGATGCAGATGGCATCTTCCTTCATGTGTCCTTTGCAGTTAATTTTGATATTCATAATGGTGAAATACAATGATAAAAATGAAGTCAGGGAGTTTACAGTCTATCAGGGGAGACCTACCTATGTAAATGCATACAGAATAAATACAACATGATTTTGGTGGAGGGGAGAACCAGCAGTTGGGGCATCAAGAAATAATTCAAGAAGAAGGTGGCACTTGGCTTGAGTCTTGAAAGGAAGGGATTCTAAGATACAGAAGGAGAGCGGGCATTCCAGGCATGGGAACCAGCCAGTGCAAAGGCCTAGAGGCAAGAGATGGAGTATAGCATAAGAACCAGCATCTAGCTGGGCTACATCTTAGTATGGGAGGGGTAGCAATATCCAGGATGATGTAGTCTGGGGCCAGATTGTAAAGGATTTTAAAAGAAAAACAGAGGTTTTCCTCCTTTATCCTAGAGGCGATAGGAAACCACTTACAGTGTAGAGCGTGGAGGAGTCATATGACCAGATCTGTGCAGAAGGACCATCCTGATCCTTTGGGCAGCTTTGTGGAAGACACTTTGGGGGAAGGAGAGACTAGAGGCAGGCTAGAGGAAGGCTAATGAAGAGGCCATTGTGATAGTCAGGGAGAGGCGAGAAGGGCCTAAGCTAAGAGAGTTGCTGTGTGGACAACAAGAAGCAGCCAGACCTGAGGGGTGGTGTGTCGGGAGAAACAAGAAGGTTCGGGTTCAAACCTAGGAGGCTGGAATCAAGGCAAGGCCCTCAACAGAAATTTGTGTTGCTGTTCTGTAGTTCAGGCATGTTCAACTCTTCTTGACCCCGTGGACCATGCCACAAATTAGAAAGTGTCACATCAGAGGGCAGCTAGGTGGCGCAGTGGACAGAGCACCGGCTCTGAAGTCAGGAGGACCTCAGTTCAAATCCGGCTTCAGACCAAACACATGACTCTTACTGGCTGTGTGACCCTGGGCAAGTCACTTAACCCCAAATGCCGTGTCACGTCAGAGAAGGTTTGAAGAAAAACATGAGCTCTATTTTGAACATATTGAATATGAGATAGCTGTAAGGACATCCAATTGGAAATGTCCAATAGGCAGTTGGTGATGCTGTATTGAGGCTCAGGGCACTGATTTGGGACCTGATGGGGTCTGATGAGGTCGCCGAGAAGAGAACTAAGGGACAGGGGAGCAGCTAGGAGTCAGGATGACTCCTCTTCTAGTTTCAGACAATTCCTAGCTGTGTGACCCCAGGCAACTCACTCCCCTGTTTGCCTCAGTTTCCTCCTCTGTAAAATGAGCTGAAGAAGGAAATGGTGCGCCACGGCAACATCTGTGCCAAAACAAACAAAAAACCACACGAGGTCACATAGCGTTGGACACAACTAAACAACAAATATCTCTATTCCCTCCCAACTTCCAAAGTCCTAGCTCCAATGCCTCATCTTGGAATGGTTCTATACTTCCATGACACAAGGTGGTCAATCCCAGTCTTTGACACTTCTCACTTTTGGCTTTGTGAGGACCAGCCCAAGCACAAGTGAAGGGCTCACCACTACCAGGTTGGCTCCTAGATGAATTCTTTGACTCTGACTACAACCTAGGCAACCAGGAAAAGGACCAAAGAACCCTGGGTCCTGTAAGACACCACTCAGTGGTGATGGTGCCTCAGTGGGAAAGGGAGGAAGATGGTGCTGAGGATCCCACAGTTATTAAACTGTCTGTAAACATTAACTCAGTCTTTGGCACTCCAAAAGTAAGCCATTTAAAGGGAGTCACAGGAGATGGCTAGGTGTGGATGGAGTGGGACCTTCCACACTGTTGGGGTCCAATAAGGTGATTGTGTATAGGTGTTTGTAAACCTTAAAAAAACCCATAAATATCAGGTATCCTTACCTTGTTTCATTCCGTAAGTCTTCTGACCTAGCCCCTAGGGAAAGATCCCAGAACCAGAGGGACCCAGTGAGCATTTGCTCGGTGAAGGAACATTTACAAAGCCAGAACTGACTGATTCTACCCTGTGCCTGTCGTCTTTCTCAATAGTTTGTAAGTGTGCGTTGATTGACTGGGGCTGAAATAAAGCAATGCTGGAGCCAGAACTGGAGTAAAAGAGATCCTCAACAAGGGTATGAGTGAAAAAGATGCAAACGTCCTTCAAAAGTCAAGAAAAATGGAGAAAAGCCTGGGTCGGGACGGGACCGGACGGGGCTGGGGGCAGGGGAGGGAAGGAAGGCCTTTGAATCACCCGTCTGGGAAGACAGGTAAGAGGGAAAGGCTTCTAAACCAACTCCGAAATTACAGGTCCGTTTGAATATGGGGTCTGGAAGTGAGCCCTGCGAGGGGCAGCCAAGGTCATCAGCTGCGTCGCCCGGCCAAAGCTAGCCTCGAGCAAACGTGCTCCACCCGGAGCCCGGGGTGGATGGAGCAAATGAAGCAGGGGACCCAGGCGTGACGCTGGAAAGCCGTGGGGATCCCCAGAGGAAGGATGAAAGCAGCTCCGGGGACGCCGACCAGCCTCAGGCAGAACGAGGCGGTAAGAGGTGGTACGGCTGGTGCGCCGCGCCCCTGCCGTGCGCCGGGTCCCCGTGACCCGGCCGGCTGCAAGTGCTGAAAGCCCCGCGGGGCAGGGAAAACCAGCAGGTGCAGCCCCGCCCGGGGCGCGCTCGGGCTTGCTGGTCAACCTCGGGCTTGTTTCCAGGGGTAGCAGCCTCTTCTGTCACCAGAACAGAGAGGCAGCGCCAGGTAGGGGATGGAGGGATGGGGGGATGGGGGAGATGGGGGGATGGAGGGATGGGGGG